GAAAAGAGACAGAAGTAACTCAAGAGCAGATAAATTACCCAAAGCTATGGAAACACAGCATGGCGGGGGTACACAGTGCTGCTGCAAGTACTCCAAAGGCACATCGCTACTCCAAGCAGAGCTCATAGAACAAGCACAGAGGAAACAAAGAAGAAAGGAAAGGAAATGAGTCTAGGGGCGCTTAGTTAAAAATGTTTGTCCTAACAACCAATGGATAGTAAAAGACCAGAAATGCATCTATGTTATTTAAAAATGAAAAATAAAAGGGCTAAAATTAAGATTGACCAAGAAGCACACACAGTAAAAAATAAATAAATAAAAATAAGAAACATATTTCTAAATAATGAAAATAAATGTAAAAAGCGTCACCATCAGAAAAATAAAAAGAACGCACAAAGTAGTAGAAAATGTCTGAAAGCCATAAGGGAACTGGAATCAAAATATAAAGCATTTCCAAAATTCAAAACAAAAGAATAATCCACACTTTAAAAGAGCAAAAACCTCTGACATTTTTCAATCGAAGATCTGTAAGTAGAAAATTGATACATAAAAACGTACTCAGCAATGTTCCATGGAGCAAAAGAAAATCAAAACCTCAAATACACCACTTTATATCCACAATGCGAGCGAGCACCAAACTATCCAGATAAAAATACGGAAAGGTGTTGAGACTGGCAGACCATCACACATGCCAATAGGACCGTATAACGGTTACAATATTGGAAAGTTTGGCAGCTGATTAAATACAGAGTGACTTCCAGATCCAACAATTCTACTCTGAGAAATACACTTCGGAGAAATGACAATATGTATTTTATCAACTTGTATGATAGCTATGACAACACTTCATAACAGCTAACAGATTAACAATCAAAGATCTACCAACTGATGGACAAATGAGAAACACACACACACAATGGCACTCTACAGCAGGCATGGTGCCTGAGTGTGTTCTACAAAATTTCACATGCTGGAAATATGGTCTCCAGTGTGGCAAGGTTAAAGTGGTGAAACCATTAAGAAATGGGGATTGAGAAGTGGAGAAATTGCTCAGGGGTTGAGAGCAATGGCTACTCTTGCAGAGGACCCAGGTTCAGTTCCAAGCACCCACATGGCAGCTCACAACTGCCTCGAACTCTAGCTCCAGGGGATCAATATCCTCCTTCTGGCCTCCTCAGGTATACCCACGCACATTCAGGGAAAACACACACATAAAAAAAAATAACCATTTTGAAAAAGATATGGAGACCAAAGTGTAACAAGCTCACAGGAAAGGCTGACTTGCGTAAAGCTGATTCTTATAAGTGCATCCAAGGTTAACTAAGGACGAAGGAGCTTCTCCTTGCTGCACTAGGGAACTAGCCTCAGTCCCTTCTACTTCTCTCAAACACACCCAGAAGGATCCTTGACAGAGTCAAGCAGGACATTCCTCCATATTGAAACATCTACCCATAAAAACTGTGAGCAAAACAATCTCTTCCAATTGTAATGAACCTAAATTTAAGCATTTTGTTATATCAATACACGTAAACTCTGAAAATGGCACGCTGAAAACTTAGTCACACACACAAAAGTGTCTTATAGATTCTATTTATATAAATTTTCAAGAGTAGAAAAACTCAAACAGGCAAACACTAGATTAGTCTTTGACTATGGCTAAAAGGATTAGAGGGGTATGCAAAAAAATGGTTCTTTTGGGGGCTTTTTGGGGCTCAGAGGTTAAGAGCACTGACTGCTTATCCAGAGATCTCGAGTTCAATTCCCAGCAACCATATGGTGGCTCACAACCATCTGTAATGAGATCTGGTACCCTCTTCTGGCCTGCAGTATACATGCAGACAAAACACTGTATACATAATTAATAAATAAATCTTTTTTAAGATATGATTATTTAGGAGCAATGTTTTAAAGTTGATTATATTCATGGATACAACCCTATGAATATATTAAAAACTGCTGATATTACTTGCATGGTAAAAGAAATCTGACCAAGCTGTGCAATGGTGGTGCACTCCTTTAATCCCAGCACTGGGGAGGTAGAGGCAGGAGGATCTCTGTGAGTTTGAGGCCAGCCTGGTCTACAGAGTGAGTTCCTGAACAGCCAGGGCTACACAGAGAAACCCTGTCTCGAAAAACAAAAAACAAACAAAAAAAACATAACAGAAGGGATGGAAGAGAGGAAGAAATAAGGGTAACAGCATTTCTGACATGAGGACAAATGTAGATGGGAATATAAAGATATTAATAAATATATTAAACAGTGGATTTTATCAAGAACAATCAATGATAATTAGCTTTGTATTAAACTCAAGGGGAAAGATTAAACTGGAAATAGTATTGGCGATCAAAGAAGAGGAAAATGTAGGGGATTATTCAAAAAAAAGTACAATAGAAACAGAAGGGTGAAAAATGGAGGAAAACCTTATTTCTTCTCAGTAACTAAGCATGGATGACGATGAAGACCTCAGGACACAGGAAGTTGGCTGGAGACAACAAAGAGAATGCAAGGGGCAGACAATCACTGCAGGTCGGGAAAAGGCTTTTCCTCCACAGATAGGAACCAAAGCATGACATCTTTTATCACCGTAGTAATATAGAACAGGAGAAAAGCAGGAGATTGCATGCATCAACAAACTATATGGAGCAAAGCTTAAGAAAGCATAATCGATTGACAGTCCTCATAGGCAAGAGCATAAAATGCTGAAACTTAATACCTTAATTATATACATACTTTTGGGATCCTCACTAAGATAATTTGTGGCACAATGTTATAAATACTCTGTTAGCACTAAAATGCACAGAGTAGATTGTCATGCTGAGGGAATGAACTAATGAAACTATCAACTTGGAAAATTAGCTTTCCAAATAAATTACTGATAACTTTTCATCCATGTATTTTAAGTGTTTTAAATGATTTGTTTCATTTTTTTCAAGCATTTACAAAAGAGGTAACGTTTTCTAACAATCCAATTTTCTCAGATCCTCAATCTGTAAAACATTAGTTCCACTAAACTAAGATCTTATACTACACTAGGTTACCAAAAATTGAATTGTTGCCATTCGTCTGGGACATGTCTTTAATACTTGAGCTATCATCCGTTAGAACAATTTCCAGAATACTTCCTTTTATGTTATAGCTTATACTATAACTTCTTAAGAGAGAAAGAAAATTTGCTTAGAAATAGAGATATTATAAAGGAAAATCAATGCCCCTAGTTTACTAATCATTTTTATGCTATGAGAGCTAATCTACAAAAAAAATTAATATTTCAAAAATACTGGAGGCAGTAAGATAAATAGTAAAGCAAACAAGACCTCCAGATGGAATATCACTTAAAATAGAAATATGAAAAATAAGATAATTTTAATTATAATATTACTTTCATAACAGCCTCAGACAACCTCAGAATTTACTAATTGATTATTTAATACCAAATACCCTGAAAACAGACTAAAAATAACATTATACAGACTAAGCAGGTTAGGAATATGTTTGTATAGACACATACCGATATCCATATAACAACTAATGAACAATTTCAGAAAGAATAAGGAGGGGTATATGGAAGAGTTGGGAGGAAGGAGAAGGGAGAAATGATATAATTGTATTATAATCTCAAAAGTAAAAAAAATTTAAATAGTCTTGCAATAGAGTGAGCTTACGTGGACATGGAAACTCAGTGAGAGTACGAATATGGTATCAATGTATTCTACATTAAACATGTAGTTTAACCCATTCTGTGAGGTACTGAGAGGGCAGAAACTTAATCAGGCCATGAAGCTGAAATGCAGGCCCTGGTTGATGTGAATAGAAATGACAAAACCATCAAAGTAGGCCCCATGTCAGTGGCCAAAAGAGAAGAGAGAGGCTGAAATGCCTTCACACTTGCAACCCCAGCAGTCAGGAGGCAATGGGAGTAGGATCCCAAGTGTGAAGCCAGCCTAGAAAGAAAGAACAGAAGACAATGGGCAGACAAATGTCTTCCTATCGACTGCCATGTGATGCCGTCCACACCCAGTGAGTTAGATCCCCAATTCCCAGTCCTCACAGAAAGAATTCTAATTAGAAATACCTTTATACGAGAAAGCTGAAACTTCCTCTAAAATAGATCACATTTAGGCTAAAAGAGCAAATGTTGACCAACATAAAAATATTAAACTTCATGACCTTTATTGTATCATAATTACATAAAATTATAAATAAATAGCAAAAGAAACTACAAAAACCACATAGAAATTGAAATTTTGATTTGCAATGACAAGTATGTCACTGAAGATGACAGAGAAAATAAAATTCCTAGAATCAAAGAAAATACAACAGCAAAGGTGGTTCTCAGAGAGAATATATACATACATACATATATACATACATATATATGTATGAATGACTATACTTAAATAAGAAAGAACTAAATACCATACACATATAACTAAGGTTTCAGTAACACAAAAACAGGTCAAACCCAAACTCAGAAGTTGGAAAGAAATAATAAATGTCAAAAATTAATTTAAATAGAGGATATTTTAAAAAATAATCAGTGAAGCAAAGAAATGGCACTTTAAAATGATATGCAGGGATTGCAAACCTTTAGCCAAACAAAGTGAAACAGAGAATACAAATGTTAGCGAGGGAAAAGGGTGCATGACAACAGATACAGATGTAGGAGATGAAGGATCATTGAAGAATTCTCTAAAAAAAACCCCTATTTCAATAAACCACAAACTCCAAAAGAAATGGATCAATCCCTAGACAGACATGACCTAGAGAATCATCAGAGACACCAGGGCATCCATGTGCGCTGCTTTACTTACAACTGCAGTTTAAGAATCAGTCAAGATGCCCACGAAATGATAAGTGGCTTGAGAAAAAGTGGTATAAATGTCAGTCAAGTTAGTAATTACTTTATAGAAATATACTATAAGTTAAGCATGTCAACACAGGAATTTAAATATCAGTCAACTCTGAAATAGATTTTCCTTAGGAGGAAAACAGCTTTTACCTGTAGTTTGGAAGACTTCATTCATCAAAGCTTCATTCACTGTTGAAGAGCTGCTATTTCCAATATGAGCCCAACTCTGATATATTGCTTGCAGCAAAAGTGTCTGTGCTCTTGTCGCTTGAATTGTGAGATTTGGCAGTTCAAAAATACCTTCAGTTACAACAGTCTGAGATCTTTTGGTCCTAAACATGAAAACAAAGAAAATACAAATAAATAAGTGAATAGCACTTATATAGAACATAGTAATTAGGCTACATTGAAATTGTGTATGCTATGCATGTGTGTACATATATATGTACATGCTCATGTATGTTTATACATGTGTACATGTGTGTAGACAGTAAAGCCAGAAGCCAATATCAGGTCTTCCTCAATCACTCTACACATTTTCTGAGACTGCCTCTCACTGAACCTGGAACTCCCCACTTTGGCTAGACAGGTGGAGTCCTCCTACCACAGCCCCCACCCTGATTCCACCGCCATCAGGAAAGCTAGACAGAAAAACATTCTATCACTACTAACACGAGTAAAGAATACAAACAACTGGGTCATCTACACTGTGAAAAATGTATCACGAACCTAAGACAATGTACTTTCATCTCAACAGAGTCCTGGGCAGGGGAATACAGCAAAAGCCATGCTCCTAGAAGAACCCCTACTATAACATGAATTATACAGTTATTACAGAGTGGATACTTGGTACAAGTGGGACTTCAGTATTTCAGAATAAAAATACCTACTTTATACTTTAACTTTCAAACCATCTGATGTCACGTAAAATGGTTCCTAATGGATTGCACAGTTTTAACTAAAATGTAAACATAAGCAAATACAAAAACAATTTAATTATTCTACATTATTTCCAAAGGCTGGAGAGTAATTCTTTTCTTCAGATTTATTATTAAAAAAACATACTTTGCACAACTCATTTTTCTTACAAACAAGGTAATTTTGCCATACATACATAAGATTTTGAAGGCTTTCTTTTTCAGTTATACCAACTACAAACTCAAGTATAGTTTACTATACTCCTTTTGAATTAATATTTAAACTAAAATAAACAAAATGATTTGGCAACACATAAGTAGCTGATACAATGCACCAACTATTGTTGATGGAACAATATCAACAGGAAAGGTTTTTCTTTCTTTTGTCGTTTAATTATATTTCACAGGTTAGCAAGCTAGGGAAAGTAACAAAGGTCTGTGTTTCTTATTACTCAGTTCACCAAATTGTCATGTTATACTATCTTTGCTTCAGAAAATATTTAGAGATCAATAGATTTTACAACTTACAGCTACTTGGGGACTCTTTAATATGTCAATGCAAATATACACTAAAAGTGTGACTTTTCCTTGTGACTTATACCACTACACATTTATTTAAACAAAGCACCTCAATATAAAATCATACAAAAGCATCTAACAAGTTCTAGACTCCTCTTAAAATATCACTAAGCTGCATTTTAACAGTTATATTGGTTAATATAAAGTCATAAATTTGGCAAATGTCTAGGGTTTATATTCAGAAATCATGGTATAAATATATGTTCACTTTACAGAATAGATTTTCAAACTATCAGTTCAAACATCACTCTCTAGAGAAAAATAAATCGTAGAGTAACTAGTGGGATAAACAACTCATTAAAACTCAACTTGGACAAACTCCAGAATAAATTGAAGGAAACAGAAACAAGTAGATCTTAATTGCTTAGTAGCAAATACTTTAAATGACTATACCCTAATTACAATTTCAAAGACTGATCTGTCATTTCCTGGCAAATTATAAATAGAGACAATCAAATTTCTGTGCCAATGCAATTTCTATTTTTAAAAATTCTTGCTTTCAGTACATAACAAGAAAATTCAGAAGTGTGGTTCTTCCTACCACTGGATGCAAAGAAGGAGTCTTCCACATGCACCCTCCAGGCACAAGGAGCCCTTCTCTAGGACACACTCCATAGCAACAGCTGGACATAAAGATTCCTACAGAGGTCCCAAATGCCAAGTTTGAAAACACAGATTGGTTCCCAAAATTTATTTTTATTATTTCTCACATCCTGTACAATAAAATAAGATTAGGTCATTATTTTCCAAAATTAAGTTAATACAAAAATCTTACTAACTTATGAGACTAGGTAAAACATGGAAAATTGTGGGATTTTCTTTTTTACAGAACGGTTACTTAACTGACATAACATTTCATACTCAAAATATAATCTTTTAAGTTCTTTCTACAAATTAAATGATAGGTTAAATGACAGTGTACCTCCTACTCCCATATAGGCACTCTCTAAAAATGAGCACACACAGACCTCTCTGCGCCCAGCATGTGCACTGCAATGATAAGCACTCTCTAAAAATGAGCACACACAGACCTCTGTGCGCCCAGCATGTGCACGGCAATGATAAGCACTCTCTAAAAATGAGCACACACAGACCTCTCTGCACCCAGCATGTGCACGGCAATGATAAGCACTCTCTAAAAATGAGCACACACAGACCTCTGTGCGCCCAGCATGTGCACGGCAATGATAAGCACTCTCTAAAAATGAGCACACACAGACCTCTCTGCGCCCAGCATGTGCACGGCAATGATAAGCACTCTCTAAAAATGAGCACACACAGACCTCTGTGCGCCCAGCATGTGCACGACAATGATAAGCCCTCTCTAAAGATGAGCACACACAGACCTCTCTGCGCCCAGCTTGTGCACGGCAATGATAAGCACTCTCTAAAAATGAGCACACACAGACCTCTGTGCGCCCAGCATGTGCACAGCAATGATAACAGTTTGGAAATGGACGGACATGTGCTGGCCTGCTTCCTCCAACTAAACTCCATCAAAGTTAGAATACCTGTCCTTCTCTGTGCTCTCTCAATGCGGCCTGGAGCTACACTGCAAGGTCAAGGTCCCAGGCAGGGCTTCTGAGCACCCTATAACCAACATCACCAGTGCTAGCTAAGGACACCGTGTATGCTACATCCTATCATGTTAAGAAATGGTCCTTGGTTGGCAGAAGAGAGGGCGCCTGAACTGGCATTGCCCCATAATCACACTGATGATTATCTCGAATATCAACATAGAATCTTTGCGATGGATGGAGATAGAGACAGAGACCCACATCAGAGCACTGGACTGAGCTCACAAGGTCCCGTTGAAGAGCAGAAGGAGGGAAAAGATGAGCAAGGAAGTCAGGACGTGTGGGGTTGGGTCCACACACTGAGACAGTGTGCTTGATCTAATGGGAAATCACCTAATCCAGCTGGACTAGGACTGAATGAGCATGTGATCAAATGCAGCTGACAATGGGGGCTGACTGAGAAGCCATTGATAAAGGCACTGGGACTTATTTCTACTGCTTATACTGGCTTTTTGGCACCCTAGTCTATTTGGATGCAAAGCTTCCTAGGCCTGGATGCAGGGGGGTAGGGCCTTGGACTTCCCACAGGGCAGGTCACCCTGCCCTCAGTTAAGGCTGGAGGGGAAGGGAGGAAGGGGAATAGGGGAGTGGAAGGGCAATGGGAGGGGAGGGAGTAGAAATTTTTGAATGGAAAAATAAAAGATAAAAATAAAAAAAGGAAATGAAAACACTTTGTAAGTCGGATATGGTGGCATATCTGGAAGGCAGAAGCAGATGGATCTCTGAGTTCAAAGCTAGCCTGACCTACATAGTGAATTCAGGAACAGTCAGAGATATGGAGAAAGACCATGTTTCAAAATAAAGACAAGATTTTTATCAGTGGAAAGGGAATTACTGGGAGCAGAGGGTACAAATGAAGCAAAGAACAAAGAAATTAAGAATGAGGGAAGTGAAAGATCAGCCAACACAAAGGATTTAGGAACCTGTTATAAGGAAAATTGCTATTTTGATAATATGTGCTCATAAAATTATTTTTGAAAATATATTGTATATTAAATAAAAATAAATTTTAAAGATTCATAATAGACCTTACATTAATATAATCTTAATGTAGACAAATCACTATAAAATGTATAAGCTGTGCAAATAAAAATGTAAGTCAATTACTTATGTGATTTGGGATTTTACACTTCTAATTTGGTAATGTATAAGTGGTAAAGTGTAATACAAATATGTTTTTGTCATGGCTTATGGACAATAACAGAGTTTTCTCTTGTAATATACTTATAATTACTATTGTGAATTCATTTTTTAAAAACCCAAATGTTCATTTACTGATGAATTAAGAAACAAAATAAAAGTCTATCCACAATGCTACTTAAAGATACAACAACGAACTGTTGTTACGTATGATATGGTTGAAACATGGAACAAAAGACCACATCCTACTATAGTCCAAAAAAAAAGTGAATGGAAAAGATATATGCATATATATGAAGTAAATCTTGATGTGGGAGTGTCTATCAATCTGTTGATTTCATTGGTTAAGCAATAAAGAAACTGCTTGGCCCTCATAGGTTAAAACATAGGTGGGTGGAGTAAACAGAACAGAATGCTGGGAGGAAGAGGAAGTGAGCTCAGACTCGACAGCTCTACTCTCTGGAGCAGAGATGCCATGCTCCCCTCTCCCAGCGCGAGAGCTCTGCTCTCTGAGGCACATACGATGAAGCTCCGACCCAGGATGGATGTAGGCTAGAATCTTTCCCGGTAAGCGCACCTTGGGGTGCTACACACAGTTGATTAGAAATGGGCTAAATTAATATGTGAGAATTAGCCTAAAAGAGGCTAGATAGAAATGAGCCAAGCAGTGTTTAAATAAATACAATTTGTGTGTTGTTATTTCAGGCATAAGCTAGCAGGTGGCCAGGGTGCTGGGGACGCAGCCCTGCCACTCCTATTACTACAAAATCTATAGTTCCTTTAAAGCTAAAATGAAAACAATCTTTACTGTAGCAAAGAACATCACCTGCGTTTGGTGGGATTCTGATGAAAATTTATAAGGTTGATAAATAAAGTAAAATTCATTGAACTTTACATGTCAAATCTTGTGTTCTAAAATTCATAATTTCAGCCAGGCCTACAAATGCCTACACTTACATTCGCTAAGCATGTTTAAATTTCAGACCGGGAGGAAGGTTTCAGATCTTCTTACAGTCACTGCTTCCATAGACTTGGGTCTTTGAGTGGTGGTGTCTTCTCTTTAACCTTGGGACACACAGGCTTTTGTCATGAGAATAGTGCACATGCTCACCTTGTTTT